ACATGGCTGTCCCAAGCTCTATTTTGACTGGCAGAGGCACCGTGGGCCAGTCCTTCGCTGCTTTCAGGGTGACCCTGCAGGCCAGATCTAAGCACCCCGCGAGCCAGATCCAACCCCCAGGTCTTGAGTTTGACACCCCTGACCTAGACTAACTCCCTTGTTTAGTGTGGGAATGCAGATGGATCAGTCTGGAAGTCCTTGGTCCCTTATTCAGGAAGGTGCTACCTTGAGGTCCCATGAATGTTGTTGGGTAGAACTCCCATTTTCTATCAAAAACTGACAAAAGGTGATGGACGTGAGGGCAGAAGGGTAAAATCTCAATAAAGAGCAGATAGAGGCAAGAAAGTTGAAAAAGTTGTAAAACTAGCTAAGAAAGGAAAGCTGAAAGAGACTGTGTGAGGGAGAAGAGGAAAGGCAAGACCAGCAATTCCAGCCCTAGACTCATCAAAGAATGTTAAGTGGCTGGCACTCAGCATCAGAAAGAGCTTAACAGGCATAATTCAGATGAATTCAAAAGGCAGTGGTAAGATTAATGTTATTACTTATGAAAATAAAAACTGCCTGGGCTAGGGCACACCCTGTAATGCTTGCTTGGACCCACTTTTTGAGCCATAGAGCTTTCTTGGAATTTGGAGAGTTGCTTCTAGTTAATGCTAATTCTTTGCTTTATCTTGTGGAGCCACTAATACGCAGACTGGCCTCCATTCCATTTGCAAAGCCCTGAAATATGAAACCAACTCCAAATTTTGTGGCTTCTGTTTGTTAAGTATTCCCTCTCTAATGGCTATTCTCAATGTGTGCTGTACTGCTTTTGCCCTGTGAAATTCTGGTTATTCCGATCAGAGTCAGCAAATCTACAAAACCAGAAGATGTGATGAGGGTTCAGATAAACTGTTCTGAGGATGCAATGAAAAGCATGTGAGGAGAAAGAGATGAAACGAACATATTATGCCTTTGTTTCTGAACAGCCCCAAAGGGTGTGGAATCAGCTGGCTGGGCTTCTCTTATATGAGATGAAGGGAGAGAGCCTCTGGGCTTCAGGGATTGGCCCTTTTCTTAATGAATTCCTTCGGCGTCCACCCTCTGGGGATGTAACAGGATTTGGTCAGCTCTCATGGGTTATATAAACCGGACGCAAGCAGGCTGGAGAATCTCAGGTATATCTCAAACCGAGGCAGAGCAAAAGAGAGAGAAAGAAATGCTCAAGCAACGGACAAGAGATTCGGAGAAGAAACCTCCAAAGATGCCAAGCAAAGGTTGGAAGTCAATCCATCTCCCAAGAGACCCGACTTTTTCCCCAATGCCACCTGTCCACAACTTTCCTTAAAACGTCCATGTCTCCTTTATGATACCAAGGAGCTAAATCTTTTTCTCTTTTTTAAAGAGGGAGAAGATGGCCCTGGATATCCAACGCCCTTGGATGCCATGAGAGGTAAGAAGTGGTGATCCTCTCTCCTCTTCTGGGGAACAGAGCAGGGAAATGGATGTTGGGTCCAGGCAGAGCTGCAGCGATGAGGTGTGAGTTCACCCTTCAGAGTGTTAAGCCACCTTGTTTGAAGCATGGTGTGAGGAACAAGCTTAGCAAAGTAGCTGAGCCATTTGGCGTAGGACTTCCGCTCTGTTATCAAGACCCTTGACCAACGATTCAGTCCATCCCACAAGTTATGTAACCAACTTTAACAGGATGGACAAACTTATGTCTAGCAAGTTGTAGCTCAGAAAAAACCATTTTATGGTTCAGGCCCAGGATCCTAAAATGTGGATTTTTTTTTCTCCAGGACCCCGAGAGAAGCTGATATACGTGACGTGCATCTTAAATGGCACAGGGACCCAGATGCCGGATTATCTTGCCACAGTGGATGTTAATCCTGAATCTCCCACTTTTTGCCAAGTAAGAGGTTACTTAGTTCTTTGGGAAGATGTGAACGCTTGTCTGGTTTCCTTTTCCTTAGGCCTCTGTTTAATACCTTGCGTTCCAACTCAGGGCCGGTGGGAGGGGTGGAAAATAAAACATTGCTTTGTAATGCTCTGAAGAGATATAAAACCTGGAAGATGTTTCAGAAGTGCACGGAGGGGAGCTGAACTCAAGAGGCAGCTTTCACTCCATCTTCGCAACCTAGGAAATCGCTTAAAGACTGAACCCAGAGATGTTGGAATTGAAGTAATTTAGGGAAATAGTTTACTTAATGGCACTTCACTCACTGACCGGGTTTCCAGTCACAATTGTTGCTGCAGTTGGAGGACAATCTGCCTTATTTACAACATGTTCGGATATATTTTCAATTTCTAAGATGCTTATTACTAATGACTAGAATAATAAAGTCAAACTGGAAATAATTAAATTAAATCAAATTAAGGCAGTCCTTTGTTCTAAGCCCAACGAAGCTCAGCAGCTTCCAGCCTGTTTCTAGTCGTTCTGTTCCTCGGTGTCTAATGGGTATCCTCAGGCAGATTTTTATGTCTGCACAGTCACGGTCAGTTACACCTATGCACAGACACCTTAACTAGGTGCAGCTGAGGCTGGAACTATGAGAGCCGAGGGAAGCCTAAAGGATCATTAGCTGGTACCACAGACTCCTATGCTATAATGCACTGGGCTTGCTCACAATCCGCAAAGTAAGCAGGCGATGCTCAGACGTCGGCTCTTGCATTTCCAGATCTGTGAGGGCTTCAGATCCTTGCCTCAACTCCCGATGTCAAGGGTTGGCATGGTGGAGCACTGTTGCGCCGAGCGTGCATAAAAAATTGGGAAGGGGAGGAAAATGCTGCATGTTTTAGAAGATGCGCATCTGTTGGTGAGGTTCTGCTTGCCGATTGTAAGTGGGAGAAACACTGCATTGTGCCAGCAACAACCCATAACCAAAGCGCTCTTTTGCCAAGCAGAACAGACTTTTCTAACAAAATTCCATTCCACAAGCGGTGTCCCGCATCCAAAGACACCTGAGACTCTTGGGAATCACACGGAGAAACCCAACTCCAGCCGACGAGATAAATAATGCTTCTTTAATCTCTGCCACCCCAATCTTTCCCCACCAGGTTATCCACCGTCTGCAAATGCCCTACATTAATGATGAGCTTCACTGCATGAGCTGGAATACTGGTAGCAGCTGCTTTGGAGACCCCACCAAGAAACGCAACAAGCTGGTCCTTCCAGGTTTCGTCTCTTCACGGATTTATATTGTGGATACCGGGACTGACCCCCAAGCCCCCTGCCTGTTTAAAGTAAGCCACCCACCCAGAGAGGGCGCAAGTCAGGGAACTGAGTTGGAAAGGGTTCCGCAAAGGCCCCCGTGTTGTGGAGCTAAGCCTTAGGGTCTTCAAAGCGGTGAGCACAACACCACCCCTGACCTTGCCTTTGGTTTCCCCAACCTCTTTATAAGTGATTGAAGCCAAAGTCCATTTTCACGGGGGCTTTGGAGTTTTTAGACAAAAAGCATTTTGCAGAGGTGTAAAGAAGGAAAACAGAAAATTGCAATGCAAGAGTTTTTAATGTTTTTTTTCCTCCTCCTCCCCAACCCTGACAGGTTATTGAACCTAAGGAGGTCTTCTGTAAAACCAACATGGCTACATTACGCAGTGCACGCTTTCTGCCCCCCGGAGATGTCGTGATCAGCACCTTAGGGGACCTGTACGGCAATGGAAAAGGTATAGCTGGGCAGCTTTCTTTTCCTTTCAGCCAACACTTCCTGGGAGTCCCCTACACCTGTTTGAATTAATTTGCATTCTCCCCACACACCCCACTCACAGGAGGATTTGCTGTCGTGGATGTGGATTCATGGGAATTGAAAGGCACCTGGAACCCCCCTGGGGACGCGGCTCCATACGGATATGATTTCTGGTTCCAACCAAGGCATAACGTCTTAGTCAGCACTGAAGCTGGAGCCCCCAAGTTCTTTTTGAATGGGTTCAACCCTGAAGATCTAAAGAAAGGTGAGATGCCAGAGAACTAAGTGAATTTATGGTAGATTGGAATTCAAAATCCAGGAGGTCTGTACTCCAACTAGGGAGGGACCCAAGACTCTTTGAGAAATTTGAGGAACGCTGAGGGGGTGTTGGTGGCCATCTCGCCAATCCTCTTGTCCATCCAAAGCTAGCACTTCCCCAAGAGGTGTCATCTCAGCTTCTGCTTGGAGGCTTCCAACATGAGGAAGGCCACCGGTCTTCTAAGGAACTGCTTAGGGAAACCTTCCGCATCCTCCTGGGTACCTTCTGGCAGGAAGCATTCCTACTCACCAGAAGAAATTGAGCTGATTCTTCTCTTTTCCTCTGTAGACCGCTATGGCCGCCGCCTGAACGTGTGGGATTGGACCACCCACTGCCTTGTCCAGTCTATTGACCTGGGGGAGGATTCTGCCCCACTGAGTGTCCGCTTCCTGCACAACCCAGATGCCCCACATGGCTATGTGGGCTGCGCCTTAGCCGGCGCTCTGCATCATATTTTCAGGAAGCAGGTAAGAACAAGTAGAATTTCTTTCTCCTTTCCCACCACCTCTGCAGAGAAAGAACGGGCATCCAAGCCTTCAGCTCAGAATAAACTACAGAATAAATGGATAAAATGCAGCTTTAAAACAACCCAATATAATACAGGTAGACCTCGGTACAGGTCTGACCAAAATTGGCACCGGAACTTTTAAAATGGTTTTAAAAGTTAAAAAAAAAAAGTTGGCCACGCCCACTCAGTCACATTACCCACCCACCCACCAAGCCACGCCCACAGAACCGGTGGTAACAAATTTTACATTTCACCCCTGCAGGAACCTGAATGTAGAATTGCAAAATCAGATGACTAGCCTGGGAGATTTTGGGGTGGAGGGGATCGTCCTAAGGGAGTCGGCCACCCTGCTCCATCAGTTCATTTTATCTTTATGGCAGAGAAACTATGTGAATCTCTACTGAGGCTGAAAGGGAATTTAGAGAGCCCCAAGGACCGCATAGAGAAGCTGAAGGAGCCCGATGCTGGCAGTGATGGGAATTCAAAAACTACAGGAATATTTCAAATCTCTTTGAAAGACTTCAGATTAGGAGGCAGACACAATAGGAAGCGGAAGGGCTGGTGCAAATTTGTTTGGATGGGAGAGCTTTCCACGTCCCAACCAGCCTTGCGTGTCTCTTGCAGGACGGGTCGTGGGCCACAGAGAAGGTTATCCAGATTCCAAAGAAGGTGGTCACTGGGTGGTACCAACCTGAAATGACATGTGAGTAAATGAAGTTCAGGGGGGCTTTTCTTGTCATGCTTATGTCTCCATCCTCTACCTTTGTATGTGCTGGAGTTCACGCCCTCTGTTAAGGATTTTTAGCATCTTAAGAGAACAGGCTGAGTGCCCTCAAGGCTGAAAGATCTCCACATTTTGGGGGAAGACACCGATTTGTGAAAGTGCCATGGAATTAAGCAACCCTCCCTTCTTTCTGGGCACCTTCTGTTCTCCAGCGTTCCTCGCAGACATGGTCATCTCGCTGGATGATCGTTTCCTGTACCTGAGCAACTGGTTTCACGGCGATGTCCGACAATACGACATCTCTGATCCCCACTGCCCTCGGCTGACGGGCCAGGTGAGCTCCCTCCTACCCAAAGGCCCTGCAACCGTGAGGAAGGCTTGGGGTCCTTCCAGAAGTTCCTTCTTCCACCATCAGAACCAGGATGTTGGGTTAAGCAGAAAGCTAATCCAGGCCTTAGTTACTGGCACATGGTAGAAGAACATCCATGTTCAGAGGGGGTCCACCTCCAAATCATCATCATTTAATGACCCCATAATCCCTTGCGGGGTGGAGTCTGGGCAACTGAATGGAGCTAGCAGTGTTTTATTGGCTGAATGCCCTTCCTGTCGCCAGTGTGGAGTTTTGTTCAGCAGATATATTCTAATTGTGTCCAGAGAGAGAAATACCTGCCTCTACCTAGGATTGAACTCACAGTCTCCTGATTGTGAGGCAAGACCACCACCTCTAGGTCACCGCACCACTCCATTGGGGTCCACCTCCAAATGCGACAGAGAAAAACAGCAGCTTGGGGAAGGGGAGACTATCCTTCAGCCTGAACTGACCCTTCCTTTGGGTCCTGCAGGTGTTTGTAGGAGGCATCATCTACAAAGGTGGGTCGGTGACTGTGATTAAGGACGAAGAGCTGGACTGCCCACCAGATCCCTTCATGCTCCAGGTGAGGCTTCTCTTTCCTCAGAAGGATTTCGGGTTTGAGACACTTACGGGAACCATGTGGGACATAATTGTCAACGGACAACGTGGCTTCTTTCTTCTCAGTGGGACTCCTTGAAATCCTGAGTCAGAATAAAACCAAGGAGCCATATGTAGCCCTTTATGGACCTCCTACATTTCTTGACCACTCCTCACTTTTTTTCCTCTTAGGGAAGGAGAGTTCACGGAGGACCCAATATGCTCCAGCTAAGCTTGGATGGGAAAAGGCTTTATGTCACCAACTGTCTCTGCACCCCATGGGATAAGCAATTTTATCCACAAATGGTCAGGTACAAAGTCTTTGGTCTGAATATTCATACCAAATTTGCAAATGTGGGGTGGGTGCTCTCCCCCTTCTCCTCCCCTTTGTATTACATGCAATCCTTTCCACAAAGACAAATTCCTTGTGTGTCCACTCACACTTGGCCAATAAAGAATTCTATTCTATTCCATTTATTCCATTCCATTGCCATGGTTTCTCCATTTATACTGGAATTTCACAAATCTTTCTCATTTCTAGAGTTCCCTAATCAGCTTTTCTAGTTTTATGGAGGCCCAAATAAGGAAGCAAAAGACCCTCCTTTTCTACCCTTGAATTCTTCTTCCTTTGCAGCAATGGGTCAGTCATGCTCCAGATTGATGTGGACACGGAAAACGGGGGTCTCTGTGTGAATCCAGACTTCCTGGTGGATTTCGGGAAGGAGCCTTGGGGTCCCGCTCGTGCCCACGATATGCATTACCCAGGAGGAGACTCTACTTCAGACATCTGGGTCTGAGATCCTCCTCCGAGCCCACCTTCTTGCTAAACTAGCATTTAGGGGGCAGGGAAGCAACTCCCAAAAAATTGTTGGTTTGTAACGTAGCACAGATTTCCGCGTTGGAGGCCAATGCAAAGAGAGAAATTAAAGTTATTATAAATAAATCACTTTCTTGGCAATACAGATTCTCGAGGATAATCTTCATTTCAGGTGAAATCACCAGTCTGTGTCTCTCGTGCAATTCATTTTGACCAAACCCTTTTTCCCAGGGCTGAGAGAGAAGGGCCGGCTCAAAGTCACTCACCTAAAACAGGATTAAAATTCATGGTCTCCCAGGGTCTAATCCAGCACCTTTAACCATTACACCAAACTGCCTCTCATCCATAAGTTAAGGCCATAATGAAGGTTAGTCTCAGATTCACCATCACATTGATGAAGGCAGAATAGTTGAATAAATCGAAGAGTGGCCAAAATCTTTTCTTCCCATTTTCCCCAAAACCGAATGATTGTTCATTCCACAGTTTGGGGGAACACTTCCTCTACGTTGAGCACAAAGTTTGGGGGGGGGCTGCACATGAACACTAGACCGTATCCTACTTTCTTGGGGACCAATGCAGAATCGTAGACAAGCTTTTCATAAAGGCATGGCACACACACACACACACACACACACACACACACACACACACACACGGCTCTAAGAGACTTCACCTTCTAAATCTCACCACCCCACCCCTCATTCTGGGCTTCCTGGGAAGGGGTTGTGGGAGACCCCAAGTCTTGGGAAGATCTACCAGAAAACGGTCAGAAGGAGAGGAATAACAAATAAAACACTAAGAATATATAACAACTGGAAGATAACCCTGTGCTGCTCCTGTTAAAGTGGGGAGGGTGATCCTAAAATTGAATCCACGGAAAATTCTCCGAGAGAGAAAGACACCAAATGTTAAGTTTGGGCAGAGAATTTTGCTCCTTCTGGTTCTTTGGCTGCTAAAACTCCTCCCTGGATGGAGAAGGAGCGCAAATCTTCCAACCTTGGGAAGCAATTCAAGGCCCATCCTTTGATTGCGACTAACTGCAATGCAGAACAGCCCTGGATGATGGGAGGTGTAGTCCCAGCCCACACCGAGAAGAAAACAGTTCCTTGGCTTGGAACCGGTGCAGATGCTACTGCACACACCACACACCTTTTCAGCAAAAGCAGATGATCAACCCCGGAGGAGATCCACAACCAGCTTTAATTCTCCGTGGTTCAGCCCAGTCTATCTGAAGCCCATGAGGGCACTCTCTCTCTCTGTCCCCTCCCTTCTTCCTACTTCGTTTCTAAACTGAGAGTCCCGACCAATCGCCAACATGTTGCCAGGCAGACTTCCTAGCCCCTTCAACCAATCAGCGCCCGCGCCCGGCTTGTATCCGGGTGGAAAACCGAGAGGCAGCCATTTGCATTATAGCACCGGCCAGTATCCAGGCAGAACTGATACGGGCTGGCCAATCAGGGAAAAAGAAAAGGCGAATCTGCCTCCCGCCCGGGAGCTACTTTCTTTTTCTCTTTTATTTTGAGACCGAAAGTGGAGGAGATTCGTGGCGGGGCAGAAACGCGGCCGGGATTTTGCTCTCAGGATCCTTTTCGAGCAAACGGGGGGATCTCTTAACTCTTCGGAGGGTCCCAGAGGATCATCTCCAGAGGATTTCTCCCCCGCCCCCTTATTTTTGATGTTTTTTCCGGCGTGCAAAATGTTCCTTTTCTTTTTTGCAATTTAATCAAGCCGTTTCAAAGAAGAGCAGATCGTTACAGGCCGAAGAACTGCAACCCGGGGAGGAAATAGGTAAGTCGATTCCATCCGGAAAGCGACCTTAAATTGCTGGGTTTTTAAAAAAAAAAAGAAAATTCTATTTTTTTGCAAAGCTTTGCATGGACCAAACTACCAAAAAAAAACCCCCAAAAAACCCAGCCGCAGTTGTTCCTGGGAGAGACAAAAGCAGGAGGAAGAGAAAGGAAGCTTAAAAGCAATAAAATGCGTCGAAAGAGCCAGACTGGGCTGGGTTTTAAAGCGGCACCCAGAGAAGGGAAGCCTTTTCTTTAAAATACCCGGGATTGCAAAACTCCTTTGCGGGGAAAGGAACAGCCATTTCCAGGTTCAAAAGCTGCAACTGGATTCTTTTATTAGCTGCCCGGCTGCTGCAGTTTTTCTCTCCCTGGGAGAATCCAAAAAAAGAAAGAAAAGCATTTGAATTTCCCTCTTCCTGGAAGCTAATTGCCACCCAAGCTGCGGCAGGAGGGGAGGGAGAGGGGGTTTCCCTGGGTCGCAGGAAAACTGCCTAAGGGGTGGGTGGGTGCAGGTGGGGGCTTTGCACCCAGAAAACGCTTCCCAAGGGGCCCAAGAAAGTTGCAAAGGGAATGCAAAGATCTAGAGTTTATCCAGGGCAGGAGGGCTAAACGCGACCCAGAGATGCCCTCTTTTGCCAGACTCAGCGGAGCGTGGGAAGCTGCCCTGGAAAGAAAAACCGGCGGGAAAGATGAAGAAGAAAAAGTTAAAAGTAGACCCCCTTTTTCTGAAGTTCTGAGCTATTTCTGCTGGGTTTGTTTCAATACTGGGTGTCGATTAAGGTCTCTGCCCTCTTCTCCAAATCTCCCATTGATTGAAAACTATTATTACGTGCCATGAGATTTATGAGGGTGTGTGTGTGTGTATAAAATTTATATTTGCTGATAAAGAAATAAAGGGAGACTAGTATAGATCTATTTCAAGCTATTTAGCTCTCATCAGCTAGCCAGACCCTTACTCGGATTCGAACTTGATAGCTTGAAATAGCTTGAAATAGATCTATACCAGTCTCCCTTTATTTCTTTATCAGCAAATATAAATTTGGTATAAAATGGTTCGTCATGAATGCTACATATATATATATGCAAGTCTTGGCGTATTCGGGTCTTTTCCCGTGTAAGATTGAGAGTATTTTAGCAATGTTTCGACGAGGTCCCACTCGTCATCTTCAGGCTGGTGTTACAACACTAAAGCTCAGGATGTTACAACTCAGCCAACTACCCAGGATGTTGCAGCACAGGACTCAGAATGTCACAACACTAGAGCTCAGGATGCTACCACACAACCCATTACCCAGATCGTTACAACACAAAAGGCTAATGGGCACACAGCTAGGACCTCGGGGCACACAGGATGTTACAAAACAGCCGACTAATCTGCAAACATCAACTCCATCTACTAATCAAGATGTAACAACACAGCCATCCAACCCGCTTACAACAACAAAGCCAGCACTACACACCTCCCCCACCAGTATTTATAGAAAGACGGCATCTCCGATCACGCTTTGCTCGCACAAGCACGAAGCCGAAGACACCAGCCTGAAGATGACGAGTGGGACCTCGTCGAAATGTCGCCAAGATACTCTCAATCTTACATGGGAAAAGACCCGAATACGCCAAGACTTGCATACCTGTACCCGTGAAAATCTACGAAAACTATATATATATATATATTTCTCCTTCCCCTTCAAGGGCACCGATGCCATGGCGGACGACAGCGGCCTGTTGGCAAAGATCGTGGAAAATGGGAACGAAATTTTGGAGGCTGATGTGCAGGTCGACTGCAGCGCAGAGCCCAATACCCTGCTGCAGAAGCTGAAGAGCACCATCTCGTAAGCGGGATGTCCTTTATTTCTCGCGTGCGCAGTGACTTTTCGGGTTTTCCCTTTGGTCTCGAAAACTCCAAAACTCAGGACAGGGGGTCCGGTTAAGAAAGATGAGGAGGGCACAGGCAGTACAGTGCAGTAATGTTTTTTAACAATGACCAGTTCAGGGTCGGCGTAGTCGGTGCTTGTCCACAAAATGTTCTGCTTGATCTGTAGAACTCCCTGCCACAAGAAACAGCCATGCTTTTAGAAGGCTGTTGAAGAAAAGGAGGAACGGAGAGGCTGGCATAGATTAGAGGCGTCATTGCAGTGGGTATTTTTAGAAGTGGTGCAGTGGTCTAGATGTGGAGGTCTTGCCTCCAATCAGGAGGCTGTGAGTTTGATCCTAGGTAGAGGCAAATATTTCTGTCTCTGGGCACAATGAGAATATATCTGCTGAACAAAACTCCGCATTGGTGACAGGAAGGGCATCCAGCCGGGAAACACTCTGCTAGCTCCATTCAGTTACCCAGCCTCCACCCTGCAAGGGATTTAAAAAGGTAAAGATAAAGGTTCCCCTCGCACATATGTGCTAGTCGTTCCCGACTCTAGGGGGCATTGCTCTCTTCGTTTCAAAGCCGAAGAGCCAGCGCTGTCCGAAGACGTCTCCGTGGTCATGTGGCTGGCATGACTCAACGCCAAAGGCACATGGAACACTATTACTTTCCCACCAAAGGTGGTCCCTATTTTTCTACTTGCATTTTTAAGTGCTTTTGAACTGCAAAACTGAACTGAACTGAACTGAACTGAAAACGGACTGTGGTTAAAAGATGATGATGATTGCAGGGGGTATTTTTAGAGACTAGGAGCAGCTTTGTAGGATTAAATATAGGAGAGTCATTCAGATTACAAAAGGTCCCCTTGGTTGATCACTGCATAAATTGCATGTGCAAGTGAGTTCTTAGCTAAGGGCAGGCAGGCCTGATCAGTTCTGGGATGGGAGGCCACTTGGAGTAAACTGGAACCTTCACTCCATCCCAGACCATTCCATACTGCTACACACTCTAGGTACGGAGCTCCATTTAAAGCATATTTTTGCCACAATACAATATATTTTTCTTGTTTTTCCAACAGAAAGCCTGTCCAGAGCAAAGTCGACTCTATCTTGGTAAGTAATCTGGTATCTCCACCGGACTCCATTCAGCATGTTTCTTGCAATGATATAAACGGCAGGTAAAACATTTGGGGTGCCACAACGGTCTCCTGTCCAAGTGCAGGTCCAAATTCTGGGTTTCACTACCTACCGATACTCCGTTCTCTCCCTCTCTCTTTCTCCCTGCGTTTGCCATAACAGCAAGATGTCCAGAAGTTTTCAGACTACGCCAAACTTTATCTGTACCTTCAGCTGCCTTCGGGACCGAGCTCAGGAGAAAAAAGGTGAATATGGTTCTGGTTATGCTACAGATTAAGGTTTGTAAACTTTGTGGTCCCTGAGCATGTGGGAATGGGTGAAGACATTGGAGTCACTCTATGGGGGAGATGGGAGAGAGAAGAGGATAGAGATTAGATAGATGATGAAGATAGATAGACAGACAGAGATAAAGATAGATTAGATAAAGAGATAAGATAGAAATTAATGATAATGATAGATAAAGATAGGTAGGTAGATAATGATAGACAGACAGACAAAGAGAGAGAGAGAAGGCTAGGAGGAACAGATGGATAGAGAGGCACTGGTTCTCTTTCTGATTCAATTGCTTTCTTTCCCCAGCTTGGACCTCACTTCTCTCAATTCAGCAGAACAGATGCACGCCTGTACCTGGATACGGAACCACCTGGAGGAGTATCTCGACACCTGCTTGCCAAAACAAGACGTGTACGATGCTTACAAGTGAGTAACGTGGGGCGATTCTGCCCGGGGACCCCTCTGGTGTCCCCACAAGATGGGTTGGAGGGTTATGAGTCCTGGGCTGTCGCCGGTTGGGGGCCCGGAAGAAAACGCGGCTGCCACGCGTCTCTCTCTCTCGGCAGGCGCTACTGCGACAACCTGTGCAGCCGCTCCCTGAGTGCAGCGAATTTTGGCAAGATCATCAGGGAGATCTTTCCGAACATCAAAGCGAGAAGATTGGGTGGACGTGGACAATCCAAATATCCTTTTTCTTATCATGCTGGAGGGACCAGAGGGAGTGGTGGTGGAAGCCCTTTGTTTGACCTTGGGGTGGTTCCCCAAGGATTTTGGGCCTCCCTGGTTTTCATCTAGCTCTTCGGAACAAAACGTTCAGGGCAGGGGTGGTATTCACTTACCTTTGCTACTGGTTCGCAAATGTGAGCGCACACACCACCTCCGCGCATGCGCAGAGACTTCCACACCTGCGCAGAGCGTCAAAAATGGGACATGACGTCTGGATGGGTGGGCGGAGCCTCCTGCAGCCACCGCTACCAGTTCGCTTGAACCGGATATAACCGGCTGAATGCCACCATTGGTTCAAGGCCGTCCTGCCTCATTGGTCCTTAATTCTCCTCCAACATATTGCTATAGTGGGATCCGTCGCAAAACAGTGGTCAACATGCCTCCCCTGCCCAGCCTGGACCTGAAAGAAACAGAGACCGTAAGCTGTGTGGACTTGCTCACGAATCACCTGTTGCTCTGAGAACGGAGATTAAACCGAGATGGACCAGGCAATCGGACCTCGTCCCTGAAGAGATGGGCTGTCCCTGCAGCTGGAGGATCCGTTTAACTCCAAGGAGGCCCTTCCAACCGGATCTTTTTGTAACCTTTTTAAGGCTTCCCAGCTGTAATGCAGTTGGAATAGAGTGGTTTTCAACCATGGTCGGATGGTTTGGGGCAGCGATCCCCAACTTTTATGGCTTGGTGGCCCGGTGGGAGGGGGGGATAGGGAAACTGGCCTATGCAAGAGGTGGGCCGGTGCATACGTGTGCGGGCCGGCCTGCCATTCGTGCGAGTTGAGCTGCGTGGACACCTGTGTGCCTTTGTCGCCCAGCTGCTCACGCAGCCCACTTCTGAGAAGACTCGGAGGGGGGTGGGAGTGGGTGGCAGCCGATCCATGGTTGAGGCCGATTTTGTGTCCCTGCAGCTGGAGCGAACGGAGACCACCAACCCCTACAACGACAAGGTGGTCGAGGCGGCTTGCGCCCTGACTTGTAACTGGGCCCAGAAGATTCTCAAACGCTCCTTTGACAGCATCGTGGAGGTGGCCCAGTTCCTCCTCCAGCAGCACCTCATCAGCTCACGCTCAGCTCACGCCGACCTAGTCATGGCCACCGTGGTCACAGGTGGGACCTCGAGAATGGACTGGGGCCAGGCTGCGCATTTCAGCCAGACTTGAGTCTGACCCTCTGCAGAATGATGAGAGGGAGGGCTGCCTTTTGCCGGTGTCCTGGTCCTGACTTAGTCCCATCTTGTTTTTGGAGGGGGGTGTTAGAAGATGCCTCTTGCAAGCAGGGCCAAATTTGAGATTTGTGGCTTCACTCTCTTTGTGAGGCTGTGCCCTTCCCCCCGTCATGGCACAGATAATATTCCCCAAACCCTGAGTTGCTGATATTCTTTTCGTTCAATGTCTCTGGCTACAGAACATCCCGAGAGCTCGTGGGGGAAGCGTCCTCCCCCAAAGAAAAGTGAGCCAGAAGCCGCAGAAAATACAGCCAAAGCACAACCTCAGGTACGAGACTCTGGCATGTATCTGTGTGTATGTGAGTGTGTGTGGGGGGTGGGTGGGTGGGAATTACCCACCCCAGGAGAAACGCAAACACCATGTTGGGAGGCAGGCAAAGTGGATCAGACAGAGGAATTCCGAAAGGTGCTTTGCATAAATCAGCTCTGACAAACAGTGTGCAACATAGACCCCAGACCCACTCACGTTTAAAAGATCAAACCAGGAACCTCTGGAAAACCCACACATCTGGCGCAAAGGAAATGGCACAAACAAACACCGCCATTTCCCAGCTATGTTATTTCTCCACACAGGGGTCCAAGAAGCCACTATGGCCCTCAAGACTAGTAGCTGGATGGGCCATGGGCCTCTCATCCTTCCTATCTAATCTTTGCATTTCAGGCTAAACCAGACAACGCGCCCAAGCCCTCGGCTCCCTCCCCACGGAGCGAAGCCAAAAAGCCGGCAGACGTTCCTCCCAAAAAGGCCAGCAGCCCGCAGGTCAACGCCTTGGTGGCCCGTCTCCCTTTGCTGCTTCCCCGTGTGCAAGTCCAACCCAGGGACCACTTGGTAGTGTCTCCTGGGACGGCGACTGTCCACTCTCCCCACCCCATCCTGGCTCCTAAACTTACCCCTCCAGTGGGGGGAACAGTCAAGATGGCACTGTCCGTGGGGGCACCCTCCTCCACTTTGCTAGCCTCAGCTGTGAATGGACCCACCACCTTGGTCAGCCAGCCGGCCGCTGTGCCAGTCATCAACATGGTGCCAGTTATCAATGTGGCGGTCCCACCCGCAGCCGAGAACCGGCTGAAGCCCAAAAGTATCTCCAGTGGGGCCGGTGGAGCACCCAGTGTTGAAGCTGAGCGGAGCCCATGTGAGCCGCAGAAAGTCAAGAGCCCCACCAAGCGGCCAGCAGACCGACTCAGAGAGGTGACGGCGAAGAGGAAGCGTGGTCGGCCACGGAAGAAGCCGGACGAGCCTCCCGTGCCAGATAACAGCATCCTCAGAAAAGAGCTGTCTAAAAGTAAGGAGGATTCAGACCCCATTGTGGTGCCTGCAGGTATCGAAGACCCCCCTGCTGCTCCTGAATCTGCTGCTCCGGATTCTGCTGCTCCGAATTCTTCCACCCAGAACTTGACAAAAGAGAGTTCCCAAGCGGAGGGCCCCCTGGGATTTGAGGTCAAGAGACCGGTCCCCGAGCAGCCGAGGGAGGAAAGGCCGGCTGAGGCCAGGAACGTCATTGTGGCTCCCCCCAGGAGGATCTCGCCTTACCACCTCAGCGTCATCCGAACCAGGATGCCAAGTCCTCTCATCCCGACGCCCTTTGGATGGGGTTCACGGGAGTCCCCGCCATTGGACCAGCCAGACAGGTACAGCTCCTTTGATCCTGACCTGCAGCCCACGGATCTTTCAATGAAATCTCGTTCCAGAGACTGTCCAACAGCCTCGGGCTTGTGGGCCCCGACAGGACGTTTGCAGCGGATCGGCGCAGACTGTGAAAAGTCGGCGGAGGCTGCAGGCAGCTCAGAGGCCACAAGACAAGGCCCCAGCTGATACCTTTCCCCATTCCCCGTCCCTTGGGCCTGCTTCCCTTCCCATTCCTCCCAAAGACAAACTGAACACCCGTGTAGAAAGAAAATCCGGAAGAGCATGAGCCTGCAAGGCGCTTCACCCAACCTCATTTGAACATTGATGCTTCTCTTCCCCAAAGGTGGGAAACGCAAACGGGTGGGGGAGGGGGCTTTCAGATAGGGTCCCCTTCTGCAAACAAGCAGTGATGAGAGTCAAGATATGGGGAAGGAAAACAGCAGAGTTGTCTTGATGAAAACAAGAGGCCGGTATTTAAAAATCCCCTTCTTGGCATTCTTGTTACTAGAGGCAGAACGAGGAGGAGAAGTTTTCATTCTTGGATTTTGACATTTGGGGGTTCTATTTCACCTGGGAGGGGGCTAGTGGGGGGGGAGGGTGTTGTGGCATTTCGTGTGGAAATCCTGTGGACACCAGCAGCCTTTTGTGTTTAGAGACAATCATTTCACAGCCAACTTCCCAAAGATTTTGCTCTCCTTCTCCTTTGCGGAGTTTCCAAGCTGAAGTTTTAAAAACTCATTTCACGCTCAATTTTGTTGGAAGCTTTTGCTTGCCCGTTTCTCTCTTCCTAACCCTCTCTTTTCCATTGATTGCTTTGCTTGTAAATCCTGAATAAAGTTATACAGAGGGTTTTTGTTTTCTTAAAAAAGGACTCTATTTCTTTTGTCAAGTTAGGACAAAAGCCCTGCTCTTGCTTGGCCTGGGAAGTTTGAGAAACCTCACGTCTCTGATCAGGGCCCAACACCGAACTTAGATCAGGGAACAGCTTCCCTCAATTTCAGTCCTGGACTACAGCTTCCATCCTCCCCGACCAGAGACAAAACAGGACTTTTGGGAACTTTTTCACCTGTGAAAGCGTTGGGGGTCCAGGAGATGAAAATACGCTTGTATTCTTTACCAGCCCAGTTAGGGAGTGACCTTGAACTGGACTTGACTGAACTTGCAAGATCTGGTTAGTGCAAGGATGGGAGACCACAAGGAAAGCCAGGGAGTCAAAATGAAAGACCTTCTGTGCCCTTGCCAAGAAAGCTACCTAAACTAGTCCACAAAGTCAAGACAACTCAGAGGCTTGGGAGTTGTGTTGTTGCGTCGGTCGCAAAGGCACTGCCTCCTTTTGACCACTAGGAGTCGCTGCGACACCAGCAGGTGAGTTCTGAGCCTTTGCTTTGGACGGTGGTGACCATCCAGCCATTCCTAATTTGGACTGAGCCATGGGACAAAAACAGGACGAAGCGACAAAAGAAAAAAAAAACGTGATTGTATTGTGTTTTGACACAACTCGGGCAGGGGCTAGAAGAGACGTGGGATTTCCACCAGTGGGAGTTCAGGATACGAAAAAGAAGTCAGCAAAACTCAATAAAACTGAATTCTCTCGATTGAGGAGGCTCTGCCCTTTTGGTCTGTTCCTTGCCTGGTGTGTTCCTGGGGGAGCCAGTCCCACCCCCCAAGCAACTCTGCACATGCCCGGGGAATAGGAGAAAGTGTTTTTCAAAAAGCAACTCAAGGGTTTCCCCCCTTGAAAATGTTTCACTTCTCATCCGAGAAGCTTCTTCAGTTCTGATCCTCAAATGGATTATAAAAGAAAACCAGGTAGGGATCAAACCAAGCCTCCCGTGAGGACAAGAGAGCTTCAGCCAGGCCTGGGGAAATAAAAAACGCTTGGTCTTGTTTTATTCCTGCTGCCAGGAATTACAGAATGGAACAAAGGCCAGAGGACTGCTGAAGTCATCCAGATCCAGCCAGGCTGGTGCGGCTTCCAGGCCTGCTTGGGACATGATGTGCTGGACAGACGCATTCCAGACTCCTGAGTCAGGGCTGCTTGTCCTGCCAGATTGAAGGTAAACAACCCTCGGATTGGATTCCTGCTTTGGCTGATACCTGAACCCTGGAGTCGGGAGGGGGGGGGAGTGCAGGCAAGTTCCAACATGCAGGAAAGACGCTTCTGGAAACCAGCAAGCTCAGAAGGACGCTGGCTATTTTCCTCACCCGTCCCGGAGGCTGCAAAGCTGGGTTGCTGATCAAAACCAGATTTTTGTCCATCTGAACCAAGTAGTGAGCAACTCTGGCCCCTTCAGGCGATCTGTAGACTTCCAACTCCTAGAATTGTGAGTTGGAGCCCATCGGTCATTAACAGCCTAGAGTGGCCCACCCTTGAAGTTTGCTGGACACCAAGCCAGCAGCCACCTGACTTTGAAGCTGCCCAGTCTTCAGATATTTTGCAGGAAAAGGGGGATTTGAATCACCCAGCTGAGCAGGAACAGCTGGAATGTTGCCTCACCTCACCCCCATGCATGCACCTTTCCGAGGAAGAATTAATGAGTTGGAAATTATTCCTGCAACTTTTGCAAAATCGGGCTTGAGAGACCGATGGCAACTGCCCAAGGAGCAGAACTTGGGATTGTGTAGAACGATTGTGAAAGGGGCTGGAAGATGAGAGATCCTACAATAACTAATAGAGCTTCCGGCTTCCTAAGCAGTCTATCTTGCTAAAGGGATAAATCAGTGCTGGTGTTTCCTGTTGGCTGCAGCTCAGCTCATCCCCAACTTGTACTTTCCAACTGCAAAGGTGCAAGGATACAGATAGAAGGGAAAGTATTTTCCCCATCGTTTATCTTGTTTGTTTCTCCGAATCAGAGATCTATCTTCCCTTTCGTTATAAAATGTAATAAAAAAAACCCTTTTGTTGCCTTAGCTGCCCTTACGCCAAGGCCAACTGTATCTCAGGGCATTGTGCAAAGGCTCCACCTTGGAAACCAATTCAAAACAGGAGAAATTCAAACAATTCACTGAATTGACAAACAACAGTCAATACTGGAATTTTTTTCACTCCTGATCCAACCCACATTCCCGCTCAGGGATGGGCGGAGACAAACGGAGAAAACTCGAACTTGGGAACTTTTTTTCGATCTATCAGAATAAGAGATGGAAGGGATCTTCTAGTCCAACCTCTTCTTAGAAACCTCCAGTGATGAAGCACCCACAACTTCTGGTGGCCAGCTGTTCCATTGGTGAATTGTCCTCACTGCTAGGAAGTTTCTCCTTCATTCCATTGCTTCTCTCCTTGGTTAGTTTCCATCCATTGTTCCTTGTCCTGCCTTCAGGTGCTTTGGAAAATAAGTTGACCCCCCCTCCTCTCTGTGGCAGCCCCTCAAATATTGGAAGAGTGCTATCGTGTCTCCCCTGGTCCTTCTCTTCACTAGACTAGCCAGGCCCAGTTCCTGCAACTGTTCTTCATATGTTTTAGTCTCCAGGCCTTTTATCGTCTTAGTTGCTCTTCTTTTGCTAGACAGCAAAAAAAGCAAGAATTTCCGCTTGGGGCCCGAAGCAATTTGCTAAAGGTAAATATTGCCACAATCTCTTGCAAAAGAGGCTCCACATAGCTAAGGTTCAGGGTTGCTATGCCAGGAATGTGAGTTATGCCCCCCCCCAAAACTCAAAAGAAAAGGGGGGGGCAGGCAAGGTTTTGTTTGCTGAAACCAAAACTGGTTTAGGTGGTCTGCCTGGGGGGTTCTGCAGGTACAAGGATTAAGAAATGCAGAACAATCTTCTCTCTCTCTCCCCACCCCCTCCTAACATTCAGCCCACGAGTTTCCTCAGCAAGATGACTGAGGCCTGACTAACCCACGTTGAGTACAACGTGTACGAATCACCCAGGTTTTGCAAGAACAATGAGGCCTTTTTTTAGTCGCCTTGCTAACAACCAAGGGGAAAAAAATGCTAGGAATGAGCTCCACCAGACATACTAGGGGGGGGGGGGTGTCCGCCAGATTCCTTCCTGAATCCGGGAGATCTCCAAGGACACTGCGATATTCTGACGAGGGTGAGCAGACAAGAAAGAGGCCTACAGATGGCCGAGACCATAAATTGTAAAACAATTAAGGTGTTTTATTTTAAAAAATGTTCGGCTTCCTTCAAATCCCATCCTCTTCAAAGTAGAGAGGATTACAATGGAACAACTTGCTTCCTGGACCCCCTTCACACAAGCCCCTCAGCATCAAGATCCTAGTCCTCATGACTGTGCATTCAGATTTAAAAGGAGTACGGGGGGGAGGGATGGAAGACGAGGGAGACCCTGAGCTGCTCCTCCATGCTGCTAAATCCAGGCATCGCAACCTTGTACACACAGACATACCCCCCAGCTGTGATTGTGCAAGACTGAAAGGAGAACGAACTCAATCCCGTGCTTTTGAAAGTGCCCAGACCGAATGGGGCTGGCTGGGGTGAGTGTGCAAACCAGCATTTTCTGTCAAATCAGCAGGCCCAACCTGCTGGGTTGTGCGTTTTGTAGAGTCCTTGTGCAGCACAAGGGCTTCCAGGTCCCCACGGAGAGAAACACAGCACCTTGTGTGTGGTTTGGCCGGGAACACATCATCCCCAGCCGGAAATGACTCAGTGATCCTTGTGCCTCAAGGTTGCCCAGGCGGCGGTGCCAGAGAACACTATGTGATTTAAAAAAAAAGGGGGGGGGGGGGGGGGGGAGAAGATATCCTTCTAACAATGGGAGCTAGAAACTTGATCCTTATTGGGTGAAAGGGAAAACTCTCAGATCATCGCCTGCCCTTCTCTAGATTCTTAGGAGTGGGGAGGGCTACAGACTCAAATCCCCTCTCTTAATCTCTGCCTACATCAGCCAATCCAGAATCCTTCTGGAAGGAACCAGAAAAGCAAATCCCAAATTTTGTTGTTTCCGCTACCAAGGCGCTGGCTGGAGCATTCCCCTCCCACACTCTGGGCCTGAGAAAGATTCGGGGCAACCCCCACATGCCTCCATTGAAGGGTGGCTGCCAGGGAGAGCCCGAAGGTGCTTCTGGGCTCCTCTTTCCCCCAAAGCTTCCTGCTTCACATCCGATTTCTGGCTGGCCTGACCGGTTGGGTTCCCTCCGGCTGAAACCTGGTCCTTTCGCTTCTCCGAAGGACGGAGCCCAGTTTCCTCATTTCACGCCAAAAAGACGTGCAGACAGCTGTGGCAGAAGCAAACCTTGCCAAAAGGAAGTGGGGTTTGGACAAACGCTGACTTTTGAATGAAGATGGCCAGTTGCAAAACACTCCCCCCTATTTTATGTATTTGTCCAGACAGCACTTCCTGGCTGAAAGTTATAAACTCCTACGTATCTTTGCTCAAGCAGAAATTAAGTCATCAAGGAAAGCCCCACAGGCAGGGGCACTGTGGCAGTCAGGCTCAGAGAATATTGGGCCCTTCTCCTCTGTAACGCCCAGAATCCTCTTCGACTGGAATCCCACCCCCCACAGGGGAAAAAACGCAAGCAGGATTCAAAGGAAACGGCCTTCCCGTTTCTTGGTCTAGGCCATCCATCCCTCTTCGCTTGGAAAGACGGGATAAAATCCGCCTGAACCAACATGGTAGCCCTTTTCTAAGCCCTGCGACTGAAATAAGAGTGAAAGCCAAACGGAGCAGAACTGAGTGGGATTCACCAGGAGAAAGCTCTCAGGAAGGAAGGGAGGGAGAGAGGGAGGGAAGGAGGAATAGAGGGGAAGAGGAAGGAAGGAAATCTGCCTTCAGAGGCCCTTGCGCTTCCTGCTATCAAAATTGTTTGCAGATTTAAACGTCTGTTAGAAATGTAGCAATGGTGTCAGTGGCATAATTTTAAGGCAAGGCCAAAACAAAAAGCAGATGGTTCATGGTTTTTACAAGGCCAGCTGAGTTTCCTACTCCTCATCCTCATGAGTCACAGCAAGCGCCCCCCCCCCCCAAAATTCCTTCTGCGGAAAAATCCACAGAAAGGGGAAGGAGCTCCTTGGCCAGGAGGGCTGGCTGCCTGGCTTTTTCTGCCCAGCAACAGGGCCGGATGCAGCAAAAGCATTTCGCGGAAAACCCATCTCTCGCCCACAGCGACTTCCTGAGCCTCGTCACGGAGCATCTGAAGTTGCATCGCGATAGTTCAGCGTGGGGGAGACTGGAATCCAACCTCGGATCAGAGGCAGCCTTGGAAAAGCATCTCTTCTCGGACGGACCCCACACAGGAACGCCCCTTGAAACCAGGAGAGCACTCCGAAATAGGAATCCCCCAAGATGGGCTGGCTCTTTAAGGGCAATTTGATTGTGTAAGAGGCAGGTTTTGCCTCCCAACTTTTAATTCCGGAGGCCCCGAGCAAACCCTTCCGAGGAGCTCCTTTGCAGCTGTCTACCGCAGGCGCAAGCAGGAATCTGGTTTGTTGGTTTAGGCACCAAATCCTGGCTTCACTAGGGTTTGTAGAATAAGCAACCATTGGCTGGGCTCCTTGCACCCCACTGAGAGAGAGAGAACACACACAGCTCTGGGTACAATGAACAACTGAGTGGTGCAGCAAGAAAAGGCCCATGGTGGCTTTAAAAAAACTGGCTTCAGTTGCAACCTCCAATATATTGCCTAGATTTGTTCTGGACCATCCACCCTTTGGACACGGAATGCCCCATCCACCCTCTTTGCTGGCTCCCTTGTACCCTGGCTGAGCATGCTGGGGATGAGAGCTGAAGAACACAGAGAGAGAGAGAGACAGAGGAGAGAGAGACAGAGGAGAGACAGAGAGAAAGGGAAAGAGAGAGACAGAGAAGAGAGGAGAGACAGAGACAGAGAGAAAGGGAGGGAGAGGAGAGAGACGGAGGGAGGGAGGGAGGGATGAAGAGAGAGAGAGAGGAGGGGGGACACTAGGATGGCAGGTGTACCCAGGTGTGCTTGAGCCCACTTCTCCACACTTGGCTGAACCGACTGCTTTGCCAACCTCTGGGATGACGAATTGCTAGATAAAGCTATGGTTGATTCAGTACCCGGGGAAGGATTATCCGGGGCCGGTCTAAATCCAGTTTTGTTTTGTTTTTTTCACTTGACAACAACCACATTTCGGTTATTGCCGCTGCTTGAAGGCCGCAGAAACAAACAGGAATCCCGAGATCCTCTGGTGTTTTTGAAAAGGAAGGAAGGAGTTTCCCCTCCCGTTGCCGACAGCAAACCCAAATATTTGTGCATGGAGGAAACAGATTGTTCTGCTGTGCAATGAATCATTCCTCATTGGCCCAAAGAGCAGGTGATGTTTGCTGCCAGCTTAAGCATGAGACTTTTAACTCCCCCACAAGTCTTGTGAATCAGGGAGGGAAGGGGAGACGGGGCGAGATTTAAGGAAGAAACTGAAAAAGACAAAAAATGGTGCAGGAAATAGAGAGGGTAATATTGGGGAATTTGGGCGTGGAATGGTTATTTCAACTTCTACCCGACTTTTCGGACTATAGAAACTGATTATAGCAGATCAAATAGAGAGGAGGCAGTGTTGGCACCAGAAGTAATCCACTTTCGCCAACATCTCACAATAAAAATCTACTAATGACACAGCCTAGGTCTGTGCAACATACCAGTCTAAATTGAAGTTATTTTGGGTGGCATTTACAAAAACAAACCACCCAATGAGAATCCCATAGGATAGGCAATCCTAACCGAAGGCGTGAGTGACACAGAATAAATCGATTTCAAAATAAGACAATCTGCACCGTGGCTCTCAAATCAGCCAGGCCTACTTGGTGGAGGAAGTTTGTCTTAACTTTATAAGTTTCTTTTCTGGAGAACAGGATGTAAAGTACACACAGGCACTAGAGGCATTACCACTCTGTAAACTTTGCAAAGTTTAGAGAAGAGGAAACCGGGCGGAGAACAAACACATTTTAAGAGGAGGGTCCCTGCAGAGAGCCAATAAATCCCCCTCCCCGGGGGAAATGCGGGTCCTTGGCTGGGAA